AAGCTGTCTCTGACCATTCCCGTTTAATTATTTTTTCCTCTTCTGAGTGCTTTCTGCACTATCTTGTATTTACCTGGACTGATATTAATATGACTCATATTGTCCAGTTGTTGGGCTGAGTCAGAAAAAAAAGTCTCTCTGTCTATATATGGAGTCCTGGGAAGTGTAGATAAATAACCTGCTACACATTACCAGAAAAATCCTTCAGTCCTGCTTGTGCTCTTCATGGGTGCCCTGCTTGCCACATCAATTAGGAATGAAAATAGTACCTGCCCTGTCACTTATTTGCAATACTGATGTCTAACTAGTCATTCAAGTTAGTGTTCTCTCATTCCACATGGAAAATTAAAATGGTATATTGTGTTTGGGTTTGTTTTCTTCATTTGTTTTGTTTTGGTGGATTGTTTTTTGGTTGGGTTTTGTTTTGTTTGTTTTTTTTTAGTGCCAAAACCAAGTACAAACTACTGTCTTCAACATCAGTGATTATCTCTTTTATTTTTTCCCAGTTTGAAGACTCATACTTCAGAATGAGCATGAAAAAGCTTGCTCTTCAAAGTTCCATGGTGCGAATCAACAACTAGGAGTCTATAGGTTCTTATAGACTCTATAGATCACAGGTTGAAAGCAATTGTAGTACAGACTGATGATGTCTTCCAGTTTGGCTCAGTTTAGATTTATGCTGTATTTCAGACCACTGCATTCACTTCAGGAGCCCATAAAGCTGAAGAGGATTCATGGGATTCTACATTCAGAAGTGTATAAATGTAAACAAAATTGAAAGAACTATGTATTACAAAGTAAAATTTCTCCTGATAGCCTAGACATGTTTGCCTCTGTTTATGACACTTCCCACAGATGTATGTGAAGGAACTTAAAGTGATAGAGAGATTTTTAGGGTAAACTTATATATAAGTGCATGTAATACTCCTGACGAAGTGCATCTGCAAGGGTTATCACTTCCTTACTCTCTTCCTAACAGAATCCTCTGTGCGTGTGTTTGTGTGTTGTAAAGTTTGTTATTTTTGTCTTATAATTTAAAAGAATTAGTTATAGGATGCTTTAAGGATTCCATGTCTCCCTCCAAGATGCTGCAATATGATGATTTGTCTGCCTGATAGGTTAATACTGAAAAGTATAGAATTGCTGGCAGGATTGCTTGCAGTGCCATAATCTGTTGAAATGTACACCTTTGGGTAATTCTTCAATGGTAGCAATTTATTTAGTAAATAAATAAATAATTTAGTATAGGTAAGCTTTGAAATGTATGGGTGGACAATAAGCTTCAGCATCAGAAATAAATCACAGTGTACTATCTGTGATGTCCTATAATCAATAAATCAGGTATGCATCACCTCAGTTGTGTTTGCAGTTTTGAGAAAAAGCCCAGTTTCTGTCCTGGAGAAGGCATGGCTCTCTTGAGTACACTTAAAGGCCGGTGCTTTAGGTCAGATTGCCTTCTGAAGCTTCTGAAATAGCATGTCCTAAGAGCACAGCATCTTACAGAAGTTAATAAACTTGTTTAATTCATCATCTTACTTCTCATCTATATCAGAGTTGTGATACAAAGTGTAAATTTCTTTTACATAATGTGAAGATTTATTTCTTCGAAGGTCAGCAGTTCTGTCTCAGGAGTTTTTTCATTAGTGTGCTGAAGAGGATTGATTTATTATTGTTCCCACAAGATGGAGCTGTCTACATATGTAATTAATACGGAATTTGTACTACTAGTGAATGTTAAGGAGCTCTGTCAAAATACGAGTTTAGCTCACAGATCACCATTTTATTAGTGTATCTGTAGAAAGCAGTACAATGTAGAACATAAAATAGTAACTATTATGTTAATAAGGTAGGGTAATCTTGTGGTTAAGACAGCCCTTTGGGATATATATGGTATCGATTTCTTCTCCCCCAAATTTAAACATTTATTCCCTGTATGATTTTGAATTAAATAGTGTGATAATACCTCTGGTAATTATCAATCTGTATGGTTTTTATTATCATTAAACTGAAGTGTCAGTAGCTTTAGTATTGAGATAAAGTAATAAATAACTGGTTTTTTTATAACAGTGAATACTGTATTGCCTATGCTATGAAATATGTGCTTCTGTAATTTCTGTCTATGTTGTATGGAATTGCTTGATAACATTTTAAAAAGAAATCTCCTGATCACAAATTATTTTCTTCTCTCTGTATTTTAACAGCATGTCTGCCAGTGCTAGCAGAGCTGAAATTAATAAAAAGGTATCAAGACAGGTATGCTGAACTGCAGCTACTGCATATCCTAAAATCATCAGGCAATGACTAAGTCCAAAAGGATAATGCATTGCTACCACCAAAGAAAGTTTGGTGATACAAATTCAAGTGTGTAGTTCCTCTTGCACCATCTTTTTACAGTCTTGTTGTCATTTGAGATATAATTGGTCTACTGTGGTTTACTACTGTTTTCGCTTACAGTTATTACACAACTTGACAGAAATAGATGGAAGTTTCCTATCTTCCTATCTTTGTCATAGTGATAGTCCTTTCTTACTTCCCTCTCAAAACACTGGAAGGAGAACTAAACCTGGAGACTCCTTCTAACCTTAAATGAAAGGCTCAAGGAAGCAGTAATTTTTTTCTGGTTTTTGCTTTAGTATCCAATGCAGTATAGACAGTAAGACCAGCCCATTCAGAGGAAGCTCATGCATACCTGATATCTGTGAAGGCACTATCTGATACCTCTGGTCCTCCTGATCCCTTTATTTCTTCTCTAGGAACTCTGGAGACAGATGGATGGCGCTCTGTGCCCATCCTGTAGGTTCCAACATCTCTGACCCTTACAGAGACAGAGTAGCACTCATGTAACCAGCTTGTACTGTATTTTGGATCACTACATCAGTTGTTGAGCCTTTTTCTCATCCCTTCCCCATTTCTTTACAGGTAACAGTGATATGGTCTACATGCTTCCCCCGTCTTCAAATGCAGAACATTAGGTTGCCTAATGAGAGCTCATGCAGTGTGCTGATTATGTGCCTTGCACCCTTCTTTCCTCTCAGACCAGGTTTCTGCTTCTCGCTCCAGCCAGCGCCAGATTCTGGGTGCAGGTGTGGGTCACTCATGGTCTTCCACCACAGCCCTTTAAACCGCAGGAGGGGAGACTGACTGTCACACATTTGTTCCTCCCAGCTTTCATTTTAAACTGCCGTGTTGAAAAGGGTGAGGGGTATTTTTCCCTTTGTGAAACACTTCATGGGTCAACAATCTTATATTTTTTCCCCTGTTGCACTTTGGAGGAAAGAGCCTGCCTTTCAGTACTGTAGCCTTATTTTCCTATCATAAGCAAAATGAGGATATTCTAGGAATATTGAATAGATTTTTCCCCAAGAAAAATATCTATAGCAAGCAGTCTATCAGGAATTGGCTTTCTTCCTTTGGCATGTATGACAGCTTATTACCTTCCTTATTTCTCTTAACTTCAGTTGCTTCTTTGAATATATTGTTGAAGGTCAAAAGGAACTCAAAAAGATGAAGAATCCAGTTACAAGACTCTTTTTCAATATCTTCTATACACTTTTCTTCCTTGAAAAGTGAAGCTCTTGTCAGACACTCAGCTGTAGGTTTGTTGAATAGGTGATGATGGCCCCAGATCTTAGCAGAGCCCAGATGTCTGGTTAAAAAAGAGCATCTTGAAGAATATGGGATTCTTCATACTTCTTGAAGAAGACTGGGAAGGATTTACTTTCTCTCTACTAAGAGTTTTGAAGGCTTTGACTTGCTGTTGCCTGTGTCTTGAACTCAAGACTACTTGTACAAGCAACATTGAGATCATTGGAATTTCAGCCTTTTTTAGCCTTTCAGTTTTTCCCCATATTAAGTTTTATTTTTTCTTTATTTTTTTTAAAGCAGCTTCTCTTTAAGATTTCTGTTTGTAATTATGAAAGGAAATTAGAGGCTAAAAACAGTAATGTAAAAATTTTTGATCTCCTGATTTTTTTGGGATGCTTGCAGTTTGCAGTATAAACATGTTTGTCTATATATGACTATAACATCCTTATATTGCCACTCTCGTTCTATCCAAAGAGCAAAAATCAGCTGTCTTAGCTGTTGTTGCTCTATCAAGTTATTAATCAAATTTTGGAACTGCTTATGCCTTACCTTTCTTGGGAGATTTCATACCTTTGTTTTAAAGTACACTTGCTTCCTCTACCAAAGTCTAAAGCTTTAAAGTGCTCCCTGTCTCCTTTGCTCACTCTCATTCTTGAGCATTTTTCCACACAGCTTTCTATTTCCAATGCAGCTCGACAAGCTACAGTGGTAATTTCTCCAGGAGTCCTGTTTCCTGCTTGAGGTTTATAAGTGTGCTATTCAAACAATTAGTAAAATAAACCAAAAGATCTGATTTTAGCCATTCCTGATCCCACTGAGGTAGCAGCCTCAGGCGTGTGTGTGTTGTGGTTTTGCTTTGGGAGATGTTGAATGTGGGCAGGCGGAGGCAGGGAGCAGCAGAGATTGCCTTCTGCCAGGAGCCCGGCTGCTGCAGCACAGTGCTTTGGTCATTCTGGCTTGAAGCATCTAACCCTGATTTAGTTGGATAACTCTGGTGTTAGGAATACCAGAAAAGCAAATTTGTATGTTTGCACTTCTTTATATTTAGCAAAGAGTGGAATTTGATGGAAAAGCGATCCATGCTATTTGAGATGGTTGGAGAAACTGATTCTTTTGTATGCATATTTGAGCATTAGGGCATAAATAACAGACCAGTGAGGCTCAGGTCAACCATGATGTAACTGGTTAAGCACCTGGATTAATGCCATAAGGGCTGGGTTCAGTTCTCAGTTTTGTGCCATCTCTCTTTTATTGCTGATTTTGGTGGAGTGGATCATGAACGATGCCACTGTAACATCCAGTTTGTGTGCTTTTATTTTCTTTTTAAGAGAGTAATTTCAATAAAGATCCTTGCATGCTATTTTTAACTGGGGGGGAAGTAAACTTTGATTTTCTTATTTGTATTTAACAGATCTGTATATGATGACCAACCAAATGCACATCAGAGATTTATGGAAAAACTAGATGCCTGCATACGTAACCATGACAGGGAGATAGAAAAGATGTGCAATTTTCACCATCAGGGCTTTGTGGATGCCATTACAGAACTTCTTAAAGTTAGGGCTGATGCAGAAAAATTGAAGGTAAGAAACTAGTTATTCAGAGTTTCATATATTATTGTCTTTGAATCTGAAAGAAGGAACTTGACTCTTCTACTGAAGGTTAAGAATTTAGTAATTATCACATACACTCTAATGTTTGTGATAATTTTTAAAAGTATGTTTAGGATTTGTGATTAGAGCTATGTTGCCTGATCCAGTAATTTACTTTTACCAAGCTGAATATTTTATTAGGTCTAATTCTGATTTATTTTATATACATATACACATTTTCAGAAAACGTTACCAAAATTATTTTGCCCTTTTTAAAGGCTTTCTCGGAAGGTAAAGAACAACAAATGGTAAAACCAATATTTCTTACATAGATATTTTTCTAATCCTGCATTTATATGTCAGACCTTAGAAAAATTTAAAATTTTGATTAGAAAAATAAAAATAGTGCAATTAAGCAAGAAAAATAAATTGCCTTTACTTTGTAATGAGTAGAAGAGTAGGTGGAGTTAGTAGTTTTGCTTAGAAATGAGAACTAAGATTTACTCCCGAATCGGAACGCAAAATAGTGAATTGTGAGATCTGTCCCTTTTAGGTCTCTTTACACATTTGAGAGCAAAATATGCACACCAGACAGAATGAGCATAGTTCATCAGAGGTTATGATTAGAAGAGCATTATATAAAGGATATTCAGATAACAAGAGACCAAATACAGCGTCAATGAGGTCATTGAGCATCTTTGTTCAGAAATTAATGAGATTTTTAATAAACTAGAATGTGCTTCCTTATTATGATGACCTAATGAGTCACTTACTATGTGGGAAAATCTGAGGTCGAGCTTTGCCTGCACCTGCAGCATTAAAATGTTGCTGTGGTTTGGAGATTTCCACGTTTGATGTTAATCAACCACCCAGTGTTTGCATTCAGCAAAGTATGAATGTTTAATTACCATAAAATGCAATCACCATTTCTTACAGACAATGAATGGCCCATAGAGCTCATTGAGGTTATCAAAAAGGGACCAGTGGTCAATTGGGTCAATGATTTGAATTGTTTGACAGACCTACAGAAACAAGGAAAGTTCAAAAATCCCAAGTAAATTTGAGAAGTTTGCCACAGAATCTGTTAGAAAGAACTGTCATAAGTAATTGAAGTTAACAAAAGCCCTTTGCGATCAAAAGTTCAAGTTCAAGCTGTAGAGTTAATTTGAATTTGCATTTCTTTGTTCTAAATTTCTCATGAAGCATGATCTGATTACAAGGGTGAGCAGTCACATCAGGGCAATATATGCATATTTGTCTAACAAAGGTGAAATTATTTTTAAGGTCCAAGTTACTGATACCAACCGAAGGCTTCAGGATGCTGGGAAAGAGGTGAGAAATGGTGCTTCCTATATGGGCATTATGAATATTTGTAGCAAATTAAATTTATTTGCATAATTCTGAGTTTTTTCTTTTTCTTTTTTCCTTTTTTTTTCCTATCTCTAAGGTGATAGCCCAAACAGAGGAAATCATCCGATGCAGAGTTCAGCAAAGGAATATTACAACAGTTGTGGAAAAACTACAGTTGTGTCTTCCAGGTGAGTGACTCTTAGCTAAATATGATGGCAAATTAAATAAAGTTACAATAACCAAAATGGAAAATAATTTGATTTTTTAATTTAGAAATCATTATTAATTTTGTTAAACTGGAACATCTAGTTTAACAAAAAACTTAATGGGTTTTAAAAAGATGTCAACATGTAGGTTCCATGTTTTTTACAATATTTGACATAGAGCAATTGTGACACTGTGAGAAGACAGATACAGTCTGTAAATATAGTCAGATACATATACAGTGAGAGAGGTACAAATGATGTAAGCAATGTAGCCACATACAGCTTTAAATGAAGTAATATTTTTAACATTATAAACAATAAATTTGCTACTTAATAGGGTGGGTTTTATGTTTGAATTCTAGGGAAGACACCAGTGATTCTACTTCAACTTTTAGCTCTGTGTCATTACAACAGTTTGGGGAGTTTTATATAAAACATAAGGGCTCTAAATGATGTTTTAGAGAGGTAATATTGTAGGACTGCACACAGCTCTATAAGGGTTTTATCCTGTTTGTGATATTGGCATAAAACAGATTGGAGAAGTTTTCTTTGAAAACTCTTGTTGTTGACTTGTTATGAGTACAGTAGGTGGTACTGTTGCCATTTAATGGAGACAAGTCATAGACTGGTAAAGCAGCTAAGGTTGTGTTATGTAGTGAGTGAACGAATATGTTTGGTGTATATAGTGTCTACTGTTTTGTTTAATCTTAAAACTTTTTCATTTAAGAGCTGTTAAGAATTCAGTTCTTTCAGCTTTCTTACTGGTATTCTGCCTTTTTTTTACTAGCTTAATCACCTTTATGTTACAGTAGGAATTAAATAAGGTAAATTTAGCATGTCCTTTTCTATGGTTTATTTTGTCCTTTACAGTATATATTTTCCTCTTTTATTAACTAAAGCCACAGTAAGATCCATGGGTTAATCTGCTTGTTTTTATGCAGTGCTGGAAATGTACAGCAAACTAAAAGAACAGATGAATGTAAAAAGGTGAGTGAACTTAATTCCATGAGTAAAACATAACATTTGTAAGTGAACCGATATAATATTTACTTGCCTACGTTACTGTTTGCTATTTTAACCTGTAGCTTGGTATGTGTGTAGTCTTCTTTTCATAATACTTTGTGTTTCAAGAATATCTCTACAAGTGAACAAATGTTATATTAAATATAAAGACTTCTAGGAGCTTAGTGATTGCCATGAAAAATAATGTTTACTTAAGTAAGCATGGCATGCATTGAAATTATGGTTATAAAATGTGAAGTGTATTATTTCTTTAGTACTTAAAACAGTTTAAGAAGCAAGAATAGTAAGATCCTTAGGGAGAAAAGATCTTTCAGAGTGTATTAAAACCTCATTAATCTATCATGATGTATTTAAATCAAATTAATAATCCAAGAAAAAAGAATATTTCACTCCATATACCTTTCTTTAGACCTATCAGGTATCCCTATGCTAACGTACATGGGGCTATGAGAATGAAGTGCAGAAAATGTATTGTTGTTTGGAGTTTTTTCCCTCTGTGACAAATTGACTTCTCAAAAAAAAAAATCACAACCATAATTAAAAATAGATTTATAGAACAATGGTTTCTAACTGGTATGTGACCAGTTCTTTCCTCTGTTGTGTCTTCACTTTCCGTCTTCTTGAAGAGCCACTCAGTGCTGCTGTAACCTCAGTATCTCCAGTTCTTTCCCTGTAGCAGTCTGGCTGCCCCTGCCCCGTGTAGCTGTCATCCTGTTCTGCTGGGGCTGCTGCTGCCTTGCACCTCCTGCACACCCACCCCGGGAATACCACTGCTGCTATTTTCTTCATCCTGATTTCTACAACATCATTGCCATGTTCATCTCTGCCTGCTTTCTGTACAGTCTGAGTCATACCAACTGCTCTGTGTCTTCCCTTGCTGAATTTATGACCATTGTCGTTGCCTCTTTGTCCACCTGGCAGTGCTGCAGTAAAATCCTGCTAACAAGTCTGTCTGGACCTATCTGCTTGCATTTGGAACTAGCTGTGCCTAGTCATGTGTCTACAGGGCTACAGTGTAATCTGGACTTACTTTTGGACTGTTTGTCTGGATTTCTCTTGTCTGGATAGGCAACACCTCCTGCCGTACTGCTGGACATCAGAAAATTCTCAGCAATGGCCACTATGTATGAGTAAATTGGCTCTAAAGCCTGCATCTGATCAACTGTACACATCATTATCAATCAGCATTGCAGCCAATCTGATGCATCTTTGACAGTGGTATATGTGCTGTATGATACTGGTGCACCTACGCTGTCTGGGAGATATTCTGCAGAAATGTGGGAGCTTTAGGAATAATCTAATAGCTATGGCACTATACTGCCTCTTATTACAATCAAAACCAGTGTGATAGATCTTACCAGCTTGACTTCTGTATGCTATTTCCTCTGAACAGGACACTGGTTTGACATCTGCTTATTGCACCTAGCAGCATGTTGCAGTGCTTTTTGAGCAGCTCAGCAGAAAGATGTAAACAGCCCAGTGCTGTTGCTACTCTGGTCAGAGAACAGACTGCAGGGTGTGCTACCTGAATCACTGCTTCTTTCTGCAGGGTGGGCCATAAAGTATGCTACATTTAGCTCATTGACAATATGGAAACACTGGGATCAGGACCTGCAGTCTGTCGTTCTCTTGCTCTGTCAGACAAACATCATCCCAGTTTTAGAACTGCAAGGGAAGTTATAGTTGCTAACATCCTCTTGGAAAGATCTCTTAAGTGACGTAAAGTTGCAGATGGCTTTTAGCATTTTGACTCCATGTTTGCTGGTAGCTTTGTAGAGTCCACCGATGGTTGATGTGCTTTCTGAGAAGTTTTAAATCTAGATGTAAATTTATATTGTTTAAGAGATTCAGATCTGATAATTTTCCTGTGGAAGGAGTTACCAGGCAGGAAGTCTTAAAAGTCAAAGGATGATATACTGAATTGAGGGGTTTGGACATGTCATTGTCATACCATAAAAAGATCTAAGGGAGAGGGGAGATGCTGTAGCTTTGATGTACCATACCTTGAAATCACGTGGAGTGCAGAAGGTTTAGACTCTGCTGCAGGCTACTGCTCCAGCTCAGATGTCTCTTTCATTAGCTACACTACAGTTACTACTTTCCTGAGACTTACAATTCCCTGTAGTACAGCCTAGAGGTGGCTATCCTGCGGAACTTGCAGGTAATTCAAATGGTAATTTCCTTGTGGCTTAGCAGGCAAGAAATCCAAAGAACGAGTGTATCCTGACCTTTATCACTATGTGACTGGGCAATAGCATGGACATCCATAGCATCAGTGAAAAGACTGGTTGCTGATGTGGGCAGATACACAGAATTTCAAAACCGACCTTCCGAAGTTTTGCTGTGAAGCTTTCCTGGAAGACTCAGAGGGAGGAGCATTCACAATCCCTGTAATGACAAAACAATGATGAATGTTTATTTTAGGCAAATATATTTTTTTCTCATAAACAGTCACTGAGGTTTGTTAATGCAGCAAAGCTTTCACTGCCTTTTTTAAAAAGATCTCTTTTCTTTTGACTTTCTCTGCTTGCAGCCTTTTAGAAAGTATTTTCATTATTCTGTTGTTTTACGGTCTTGCTCTGTGAATAAAGCTGAAATTTCTGATGTTTAAAGGAAGGGAAGACAAAAGTGTGAATATTCTATATTTGGGGGGGACAGTTGTTTTAAGATGAAGATTGAAATTCTGTTTCCTTTTCTCCATGATGAACACCTTTAAGAAAATGCAGGATTTGGGGTCTAGAATACATACTGGTTTATGCAGATGGAATGGAGGTTTACTAAGGAGGCCAAAAAGCCATCTACTGATAGCAACTTTTGGTCCCTACCAACATGGGATACATCTGAACTGATGACCTAGAGGTGAAAGGTTCTGTATCCTATTTATCTGTTTCCTGAGCCGTGCATAACACAAGTTGACAAGAACTATAGTTGTGAGAGGAAGTAACTGCAGAAATCTGCTCTAAACAGACACAATTGGCTGGACAGAGTTATGGAAAGTTTAAAGTCTTAGCTGAGAAAGCACAAGGAAGGGGTGTGGTTTCTCTACTGCTCTCCAAAACACCTAGTGGGCACTATGCATTTAGACTGAACTATTTCAATCTTTAATTTTTGGTCAGAAGTAAGATCATCACACATTTTATAGAGCTCTGTTACCATGGTCTGTGCATTTTGATATGTGCCTCTGGAGGAAGTTCCCAGCTGCTTCAAGTGATTGTGGTCTAATTGGGAATTGTTAGAAACAGTGTTTTTGCAAGTCTCTTCCACAATAAGTATTACAAAAAACCCCAAACCTATCATGCAATGAAAATAATTAAACAAATAAACCTGCTAAGATTGTTGCTGAATCTTCTTGAATCTACTGTGAGAATGACTAAAGAGAGAGTATGGTGCTTCAGAGGGAGCTTTTTGCCCTGAAAAGCTTGGATTTGTTTCCTGACCTTACTATAATCTTTCTTCTGAACTGTGGGAAAGACAGAGTTGATTAATTATTTAGGTTACTAAGTATCACTGAGACAGTCATGCAGCCTTTCTCTGCCTAATCCTTCCAAGCATTCAAATAAACCTGAAAACATACAGGATGCAAATAGGAAAACTTAATAATTTTTATAATTTGGTTCTACCCATGTCTGTATGGAATGATTTCAGAACAGATAAAACCAATGGTATTTTGGTTTTCTGCATTGTTTTGGAACTATGTCACAATGAAGCACCAATTGCAAATCAGTATTTCCCAGAGATACCATGGATCTGGCAAAAAACCCTATCAAAACATACATTTGATACTGAACTGCCAGCTGCTCTCTCTCTCATCACATTCACAATCCCATTCATTCAATAACTGCTGTTTTTAAAAATTCCACAGTTCTTATTTTCGTTCCTCCCCACTTCTTTTTTTTTTTTTTCCACACAGCAACTCTTTAATCTGATTTTCAGAAATATTGAGCTTTTGACGCACTTTGCGGAAGTTTCAGAGTTAGTAGTGCATTCTTCTCAGGTCATGGTCCTTGTTATGCTGGGGAAGCTTTAAAAATTATGCTTTGAATTGTTAAGACAACTAGATTTAAAAACAAAATAAATTGTTCTTCCTACACTGAAAGATTTTCAACTGCAATTTCAGTATATCATCTTCAACATCTATGGATGTGAATTTCCTGCAGTATTATTGAAAAATTCCAATGAACTCCCTTAAATCTGTTTGGTGTACAAAAAGTTTTGGAATACAGAAAGTTTTTCATATTTACTCAGTGGAAACATAGTAACCATGAGCATACAGCATTTGCCTCTGAGGGAAGCACAAAAGTTGGAGAATACTACTATTTTTTCTCTGTAAATTAAGTTTGTTTCTTTAATGAAAATGAGAATTTTAAGGTTATAATCTCTCCTCTTGTTTTTTCAGCAGG